CTGTTCAGGTCTGACAGTCTGACTGTCTGATTGTCTGCTTTTCGGGTCTGACTGTCTGAGTGTCTGATTGTCTGCTTTTCGGGTCTGACTGTCTGAGTGTCTGACTGTCTGCTTTTCGGGTCTGACTGTCTGAGTGTCTGACTGTCTGCTACGCGGTTCGGGCCCCATGCCGCGACCTCAATCTATTTGGGGGATCCTGGTAATATTTCCTGATCTCAGGCTGAGTCTCAACAGCCGCCAGGTTTGGGGACCATACTTTACTTCAGTCGGTGCTGGCTTTTGGTATCCTGGTTGCTGTTTGGCCACCTGCAGCAGACAGATGGCAACATGCACATCTGAACAAGTGAAGACTAACGAACTGAAAGCGAACGGCCATGATTGCATGCTTTATGAGCGGAGTAGCGCTTCATAAGCAGATCGAGGCGCTTGTCTGGAAGTCTAGCACAACCTCTTCATCGTCTCTGGGTGTTCGCTGATTACTTGAGAGGAGCTGGTATCAAAGAGGTTAAGCTACTAGTAGCAAGATCAAAAGAGCTGTCGCTGGCTTGCGCCGGATGCCAAACAATGCCCTCGCATCACTCTGGGCATGAGAAAGTGGAAAAACGGATATCTTTCCCTGAGTTGACGGCCTCCGGGTACTCGATCTCGAACAGCAGCGCCTTCTGCTGGGTCTCTGGATCCCGCTCCTGAAGCTCGCGGGTGACCGAAGGGGCGACGAATCAGACTAAGCACCTTCGTCACTCGGTATCCGGGACGTCCGATCTTCACTGTTTTGCGAGGGCCTGATGTTCAAGTCTAAACTCAAAACCCAGGCTGCGCATGCAGGGTTGTGGCAACGGTTGTGGCGCCTGATGACGTTTGTGGCTGCGGCTGGATCGTTACATCCTGGCCAGCTCTGCATGCCCTCAGCGCCCTCGACTATTTTCGGATCATTTTGGGTCTTGGTCTTTCCTGCTTCTCACGCGCGGCACGTCTGGCCAGGTTGATCTGGTGCTTCTTGCCCTGTGTATGCGCCAGGTAACTTCCTGACATGTCAGAAACTGCATCTGTGCTGCATGCTACGCCGCTACGCTGCTGTGCTTAAATGCTCGATCACTCGATCTCCTTCATTCGTGTGGAGGGTCAGGCAGAGCTTGCACTCGTAGCTGCCAAGGTGATTGCGCATGAAATAGGGATCCTGTCGATACATGCCTACAGCACCGGACCCCGGTCCCTAATCAAGGATCCTTGGAGAGGTCGATTGTCTCCAGGGCCAATTTCCGAAGCCGCTCACGCCTTTTTCAAAGCTCAGAACCAGACCCCACGCTGTGCTGAAGACCCCAGCCTGTCAGCTGCTATCTCCTGGTCCGTTGCAGGCCCTGTGAGACGCTGGATGGGGATGTGTCAAGATGTGCAAACACGTTCAAAGGCATGCAGAATGTGGATCCGCACCTGCTGTGCCAAACTTGTGGCCGACGCGATTTTGGAAATCCATCTTGCTGAGTCTAAGAAAAGCACCTGACCGTCTACTCTCACACGGCAGCCCACAGCTGTCGCTCTCCAAAATTCGAGCCGACTTCAGTGCGTTCTGCACATTCCGTGCGAAAGACAACAACGAAACACGGAAAGCTGGGCGCTTTGGCAAGTGTTTTGAAATGCAGCTCCCAACATGCTCCGCACGATCAGCAGCGTCACTTCCGCGAAGCACCTGCATAAGTCCGTCCTTTTCTTTTTCTTGAGCACACCCACGCCCCTCCCATCCTCTTTCTGCCTTCTAGCCGGGGGCCCGTCCAACCATTGGACACCTGGACAAATTTGCAGGGTGCACCATCCCAAACAACAACTTTATTGCATGCTTCAATGACGTTCTGTCTGCCTGTAGAACAGCAGCAAGCGCCTGCCCGTCTTACATCTTGGGAGCCTTGAATGGCATTCTGAGACGTTCTCCTGAAGGCAGCGAAGCACCGCCGTCGGATTGCTGGGTTCTGGCCTCGCCAAATGAGAGCACCCATTCCAAGTTAAACTTCTTTTCGCGGGTCTATTTCCCGCTCAGAGACCGGCAGCAGGTCGGGGGGGGTGAACAAGGAGACCTGCAACCAAAACCATGTTTTTTAAGCACCACCTGCCACAATGCACACGCCTTGCTGATGCCCAAGGCCGCACAAGCCTCTCCAAGGCGGCTTCCCCTACAGCTTCCCCTGCAGTCCTACAGCACACTCCAGAGAATACGTCTCACTTCGAACGCCTTGAGGAACTGCGCCACGCGGCCGAGCGACACCGCATTGGCCTGACTTTCAAGCTAGAGGCAGCCAGAGGCAGATCGCATCGCCGCATCACTTTCCACAGAAGGGATGTGAGACGGGATGTTTGAGACTCGCCTTGGGGAGCAGATCCGGGCGCACCTAGCGAAAGCTAGCGGAAGCAGATGGAAGCAGCCGAGACACGAGACGAAACCCCAAGGCCCTGGCTGAAACCATCAGGGCACATAGCAATCGGCCGTCAGACAGGTCATTAACAGACAGCTTCTCGGAGACCAGGCCGCCTGTAGAGACTTGGCCCCCATCTTCCAACATCTTCCAACATCTTCCAAGATTCCTGCTTTGGGCTTCGTTGGTTTGCTTCGGCCTGGCCTGTAGGGAGGAGACCTCGAACTTGCCGTTCTTGTGCAGGGGGCAACGGCGCCTTCCGGAATGCCAGCACGGCCGATTCGCCCGATGCTTGCAAAGCCAAGGAAGCTCCAAAGCCTTCAGTCGATCCTCGATGACCAAGCAGAGCCAGTGCAGCAAAGGCCTTTCGTAAGATGCACGGAAACAGCGAAATCTGTCAGTGTCTTTCTGCTCCCACGGAGACGAACGTCATGCTGTTCCAAACCCTACCAACCTCCAAGGGTCTGTGGGTTGGGAGCTTCGCCTGAGGCCTTCCAAGGCCATGCTTATAAGGCTATGCCTACATGCCTCAGCCTTAGGCCCTAAGGCCCTAAGGCTGAGGCATGTTTAGCATGTTTAGCGTGCCAGGCGTGCCAGCCCTTACTTTTAGCTCAGCTGTGCCTAGCTCTGGATGGGCATGCTGTTCCACTTCATCGTCGGTTTCCTCCTCGGTCTCCTCCTGACGTCTTTTGAGAAGATTGGTTGTCAACCAGGTGATGGGAAAAAGGCCCCTTCTCGCCTCACTCTCTCTACGCTCTTCCAATTCGTGAGGAGCCGGGCGAAGTGGAAAAGAAGGGGGAGCTGCTGGCACCCTTTCATGCGGAGATGCTTCTGGGAAGGCCTGGTGCAAACGGCGCCATGCGCTTGCTGGCAGGGTACGGAAGTCGCAGGCCTGGAAGTCTGCATTGGGTACATTTACTTGTACATTTCCTGCTGTGCTCGTGCTGGGGAGACTCTGCGAGAGCAGTGTTGGCTTGAATCTTTGGTACAGACAATGCCATGCATTGGTCGGCAGGATGCGGAAATCGCAAGCATCGAAATCAGCATGGGGTACATTGCCTGCGTTGCTCATGTGTGGAAGACTCTGCGAGAGCAGTGTTGGCTTGAATCTTTGGTACAAACGATACCATGCACTGGTTGGCAGGGTGCGGAAGTCACCGGCAGAATTGGGCGTCAGGATACCCAAGCTTGCTTCATTTTGCGTCTCCACGTGTGAGAGGTGCAGCGACATGGAACTTCGTCTCAACCTCAGTCCCCAGAGTGCAGAATGCGTTTCTTGCAAGTGAGAAAACTTCAGGCTAAGCAGAACATTGAACATTCTCATGCGAAAGCACAAGGTCACGAACTAGTCTGCTGCTGCTACCACCCCCAGCCGTTCCCACTCCTCTTCCTCCTGGTCCTCCTCCTACTCTCACCCTGCCACTCCTAAGTACTATTTCTACCGACCTACTTCCTGTTTGCTTTACGCATGCTTTCGCTCTGGCAGGCAACAGGGCGGGCCCATGCCGCCATGCATAAGAAATGTGCCTACCATAATGCTGTTGCGCGATCACTGTTGTCTCCCTGCATGTCTAAGGCCCACACCTGCACGAGTGAGACCTTCCTTCCAATCTTACAGGCACATGAGCTCATTTCGAACATGCACAAAACTCGGTGTCTTGGCATCACCTTATCTGCTATGTCTCGCGGAGCTCCTCTCACCGTATTGCGAGTAGCGTAGCCGCTAGACTGCTGAACTGTTAGAGACAGCTGATGAGCCCAATCAGTTGACCAAATGACACACAGTTCCATGCGCGCCTTCGAAGTACAAGGAGAATCAAGGAGACGCAACACACAATGAGGGACATCTCACGACTTCTGGCGGCCCTGGAGTAAATCCCATTGCTTTTAGCTTCTGCGCGGCGTGTCTCGAGCTCCACAGCTCCATGCCTACCCTCTCGCCGCCAATTCTCTGCAATTCTCTGCAGCATTCAGCAGCTGGTACTGCCCAGACGGGACCCAAGCGGTGCAAACCACCTGGGATAGCTGCCACAGGCTGCCACAGCTGCCGCGCTTAGGAAGTGCGTGGGATGATGGTGTCTTCGACGAGGATCTCATTTGTGGCCTAAGCAGAGCAGGGCTAAGCAGGGAGTTCTCCTGGCCTTCAATTCAGCTCGCAGCAGTAAGGTTGTAGGTCACGTTGAAGCCTTCCCTTTCTCCGAAGCTATCGGTGATGAAGCGTAAGACAAGACGCCTTATATTCTGTGCAAGGCTTTGCAAATCTTGCGGCTGTTGTTAGGCTCTGCCTGCTCGAGGTTTGCACCAAGGCGGTGCCCGCCGGATAGCCTGGCGCAACACAGCGCAACACAGCCCAACAGGCACCGAGTGGGTAGGTGCACAAACTCAACAGGCGCATGGCCGAGTGGCTGCCGCAGACAGTGCCAAGAAGTCTCAGTGCATCTCCCGAACCGACGTGGAACTCCAAGCGGTCACCTACGTGCTTGACTAATGCAACACCCTGAGCCAACTGCAGTCGAAGCAGCGAACGACTTGCTGCTCGAGTGCGTCTGTTGTACAATTCTTGTCAAATGCCTGCGCAGCTTGCGGTGTCGACCAAGTCCAAGAAGTTCACAAAGACCGTGAAACGGACGTTCCTGGAAGACCACAACACTGACAACACCTCTTCAAGAGCCTCTTCAGAAGCCTTTGCAGATGCTTCTGCAGATGCATGAATGAAGTCCATACTTATGCTTCTGCATTTCACATTCTGCATTGCGGCCGCGGCTCCCCACCGCTTCCAGCTCCCACTGGCACTGCAAATCCTGAGCGAAGCGGAAAGCTGCCATCCGCTTTACGCTGGCCTTGTCGAATGCTTTGCTGAATGCGATGCTTTGCTGCATCATGTTTGTTTCTGAAAAAAAGCTGTCCTCGTTGTAGTTGTACCCCAGAGATCCATCGGCCACCCATCCGCTCTCGTACTCGTTCAAGCCTGCCAAGCCACCCGTAAGCTACCCGTGTGCTTGAGCCACCCGTTACCCATCAGTGCGAAGAGTGCTTTAAAGGCTTCTTTTTGAGAGGCCTGTGACATACTGGATGGTGCCGGAAGGGCATGGGCTGGGATCATTGATACCGCGGTGCGAGACAGGGTATCCGTACACGTCGTCGAAGCTGTGGAACCTGAAATGCACTTGGCCGTTGGCACGCAATCCCGTCGCCCCGTCGCTTAGCCTTGAACGTCCAAGCTCATGCAAGCTGCAGCTCTGTGTAGGGCACCGGAGTGGGCACTGGGCTGCTCGAATTCCAGAGAAGGCGCAGGTGCCTGGCAGCACCAAAGACAAAGGGAAGATAAGTTTCTACCGTGTCAGAGAGCTCCGCCTCTGGAAGTTCCAGGACTCTACTCTGTCCGGCCTTTGGTCAGAGAGCTTCAGAGAACGAAAAGGCTTCCTTGTGCATGCAAAAAGCAGTAGCGGGTCTGCCCAGTACTCCAGGCTGAAGTAGTAGAATCGGCTGCTGTTCAGAAATGCCCCTTCGGCCACGAATAGCTCAGGAAGAAAGCCTGCCAACATGAAGCCAAAGGATCAATTGACGGCAGAAGCCCTCGCTATTCAGTTCTCTCAAGTGCATTTGATTACACTCTATGCCAGACTCTGCTAGACCTGTTGATCAGTAGCGTGCTCGTTTACTCCTTCAATTGCCGGATCTCTGTGCTTAGGCATTACCTGCTGGCACTTTGTGCAGACCGTGGCGAGGTAGTGTGGAACTGCATAGAAGAACTGTCGTCTGATTCCCTTACGCCCTTTAAGCCTTTAAGCAGCTTGCGCGGTTTCCTAGGCTGGAACTTGTCGTTGCAGTCCCTCTCAGGCATTCCGTGCGCGAATTTCCAGCGCACATTGAACTCATTGAACTGCTTGCTGCGTCTATCTGCGTCTTGCAATGCTCTGCTAGTGATCTGGTGTAAGCTGTTAAACCAGGGAAATGACATTTCAGTCTTAGATCACCAGGCTGTCCTTGAGACCGTCCAGACAGGAGGAGCTTCTTATTGAACGTTAACACGAATGACCCTGCGACCTCCACGCAAAGCCTTGGAGCAACAATGGAGGCGAATGATTGTGAAGGAAGCTTTGACGTCTTGCTGATTCCGTGATTACTCTTCCCTCAGCTTTGGCCATCCAAGGCACGTGTAATTGCCAGACATCTCTGGGCGAAGATGTGCTTCAAAGTGCGACGCCTCATACTGCGAATGGAATTGGTTGATGTAGGGAACCTGACGAGAAAAGTCGCATGCAGTCATACAGCCAGAGAAAGTGCTCTCAAGCTAGCTCAAGAAGGCAAAGTTCAAGACAAGTGCTCAACAAACGGCAAAGCCAACAGCAAAGAGAACGGCACTCTGAGGCACTCCTAATTTCTGGCCAGGCCACCACATCCTCGCCGGCGCCCGCACGGTGATCGCGAAAGAGCCCACTCGAGCGCTTGTAGTACTTACGGCGCACGCCGTACCTGAGACTTCCAGAAAAAGCCATCACATCCTCTCACCTGAATGCCATCCTTCGTCAAGCTGCTGCGTCTGCAACTCGCAGACCAAGGGTTCTGCGGTTGCTTCGTCCACCAACTGCATCGCATTGTCTGAAGTCCCTCAGCAGTCTCTGACTTAACAATCTATTCAACATGTGTCTAGCCAAGTGCATGTTCGAAGGCCTGTTCTGCACAAAGACAAGCGTGTTGTCTGCAAACCGCTGCACACATGTGGCAGAAAAATGACTGGACAGCAAAATGTCTCCCGGGCGAAAGCAACAAAAAAAAGGGAACACTCAGAGTCTGAAAGTCAGCTTTTAAGCTCTTGCTTTGGTGTCCGGTGTCCGGTTTCCGGTCGGGGTCGGTGAAAGTCTGTGAGCGGTTCAACGGTTTTGTTTCTTAAGCTTGGGCGGGGGGTGAAGGGGGTCGGTGGAGGGGGGCTGAAAATCTGGTGGATATTTTGAGGACTAGCGACAACGTGATCAACCAGGAAAAGTTCCGTGAAATCATCACAACTGAGCAGAACAAAACTCCCTTACTTCCCCTGGTCGATCTCAAAGCTTCAATTGCAAAGTCACTGTCAGCCGGGATCATTTATAATGACTATAATGTTGAGGTCCAGGCAAGCAGCCTGCCCTGTCTGAAAATCAAGGGGTGGCGACAACAAACTCTCAAATGAAGAAGTGGAAGACAAAGACGAGGTGGTCCTGTTTTGTGCCATATTGTTGATGCCCCTTTTAAACAGGCGGTGGCATTGTTTCCAAGCCAAGAGTCATGGTCCGCAATTGTTGCAAATAGTTCTTCGATCAAGATGCATATGAATATGCTCAAATGGTAATCAGATGTTCACGCACGCAAAATTCCTGGCCCAGGAAGTTTTTAGAACCCCCTAGCTAATCAGGCTAATCTCCAGCCAAAAGCCATCGGTCGAACCGATTCATAAAGGCTAGGTGCTTTCAAATTCACACCCCGGACGTCAAGCATCAACTTGTTGAGTGAGATGCTGAAGATTGTAAACCTCTACAAGCTTCACCCTTCTTGTATTTGCTCTCAAATCAACGAACTCTTTTGCCTGGTGGTGAGGGTTAAAAACCCCTGTGTTTGGCTCAAGCCTGCCCTAAGCAGGTCATGGTGAGCAGGAATTGAAAACTTCCAATTTAAGCTTCACTGAAAAGCTGAACGCTGGAGAGAGAACAGAGTTAGCAGCTGTAGCACCGCGCGTATTCGGGTATGCTTTTGGTGGATGGAACTTCTTGGTCTGCAAGCAACATCAGACCACCTGAGCGATGCTGCTGAAGTTGCAATAGCCCTGCCTGCTAGAGTCGATATGAAGGATAGCTCGAATGTGTTGTGTCCCGCCCCTGCAAGGATGCGTTCGCCTCATTTAGCCAGAGCATCTAAGGAGCTAGCTGAACGAGTGGCGAACTTCTCCCCTCGAAGGTCAAAAAGACGACATCATTCAGAAGCGCAAGTCGAGCCCGCAAGTGCAAAACAGTGCAGGGACATGCGCATGAATGCGGATGAGCCTACTGCCAACTCAGCATGAACTGATGGATCGCGGAAGTTGACCTCAAATCAGGCCATTTCCATGATCAGAGCCGAAAGGGCAACATATTTTGAACTTCAAGATCTCAAGAATGACTAGACTCGAGAATGAAGAACAACAACCACGAAGTGCTGCGAACTGAACGACTCGATTGTTGGAGGACACTGTCAGAACAACCACGTTTGATAGCACTTTTCCACGTGAAGGAGGCAGACAGAAAGACAGAATCCTTGAGGATCTCAGTCCGAACATCTTCTGAGGTTGGCCGAAGGTTGGCCGAGATTGAAGGGTTTGTGAGGCCAAGGGCGGTGCAAAAGATCTCAAGCATCAGAGGTGGACCTTGCAAAGGCCGAGTTGGTCAAGAGAAATTCTACGCCAAGGCTCGTCTAGATTTCTTCCGCGAAGCTGCTCACAATCACACGGCTCCCAAGTTACATGCTGCTGCAATGAGTGTTCACACTGCGAGGGAAACGGAGAATTAGCAACATCAACTGTTAAATTGGTAAAGCTGAGGAAAGGGCAAACATGGAAGGAACAAATAATGTCCCAAGCCGAAGCTGCAGCCAGAACGGAAGCAAACATGTCAAGCTGCGGGGAATTGCTCCCCTGGAACTCCAAAGTGCTATTAGGAAATCATGATTCACGGGCTCACAGCGTGGGGCACACCTGGCCTTGCGTCATCTGCATGCAAAGGCATTCAACAGTGCTTGAGCTAATCAGCAAACCGTCATCACCACACCAATAAGAACAACAACAAAGCAGGTCTCTGCCTTTTAAGGAAAAAAAGAAAGCGAGGCATCAAGGAAGAATGCAAGGAAAACAGTTAGCAATACAACAAGCAACAGCAACACCTTTGCTACGCTTGTGACACAGCCAGCGATGGCGACGAAGAAGCTGGTACCAGACTCTGCCAAGCGCGTCTTCTCACCCACCGGACCCTCCTATTTGCTGGGTTCCCGAGCGGTTGTCAAGGTACGCAGTAGCCAAGGTAGCATCTCGTTGCCTCATCACAAGACGTCAAGCGCATAAGACAGAAGCAGACCCTGCTCTAGTCATGCGCATGTCAAAGCAATGCTGTTCTCATCACGGTAACATGGCAACATTCCATCAAGGGGCCATTCACCGGTTCCATTCAGACCGTGGCCACACTTGAAGCGTGTGTCGCCCATCGCTCTGGAGAAATACTCTGGGCAGGAAAGCGTCACGACATCACCTATTGGCAGCACAAGCTGTCACAAGCACCTCATGGCTGTATATCCTATTCATTGCGTTGAAGACAGGATGGTTTTCCCTAACATTGTTCTGTTAATGTTTGCTTTTGTAGGCTCCGACGCTTCTCAGCATGGCTGGAAGTTTACATTGCTAGGCGTTTGCCGGAAAAAACAAGAAGACAAACGCTTGGAAAATCAACGGTAATCGTGTTTTTTTGTGACTGTTGTTTTGATGATTTTTTGGGGGGGCTGGGGGCCCGGAGTCGAAGGACGCCTCACACGAGTTTTCTGAGGCAAAAGCCGTGCGGACTGAGGAAAAATCACGAAAAAACATGAAAAATGAGAGAACGTGCCATAACAAGGATGAAAACTGCTGCTGCATGAAAGCGCTGTTGAGTGCATGATGCTGCCCGCAGCCACTTTGCCTTGAGTAGGAATCCAATCCCTTGAGGTTCGTGGATACCTCCAACTTTAGATGAGAGGTTTACGTCTATACGGGGTGGCGCCGATGCCTCCGTTTCTCAGGGCCCCTCCCAGACCCCATCCCAAAACCACTCCAAAATTCACATGCGCTCCAACAGCTCATCCCCATGGCACAGAAGATTTTTGAAGGATTCTGGGGTCCCCAGAGCCCCCAAAATCTGGATGCTGGAACCGCGGTGGTGGGTTTGCCAGGGGGATATTGATGGATGGGGTGATG